AGCTTGGAGGAAGACCTTTCAAATGTTGACTAATGGATGTGCAGCTTTCTCAACAGCCATAGTATCCATGAGATACCGCGAGAGCAATACATCTCATGGCCGGACACGGAAAGACATTACTCTCGCGGTATCTCATAAGAGGGCCTATCCAACAATAGTTCCGTTAACGATCATCCATAGTATCGGTTTGATATCTCTCTCTCTCTCTCTATGACCGGGAAACACGGTCATCAACTAATACATATGTAGTCTGTGTTTGTGTCCGGCCATACACATTTCCGGACATGGATCTATTTAAAATAATTATTGTATACACAGAGTTGAATTTCACTAGTGAATTACGTACTTGTTAATCAAGCTTATAATGTTATACATGGAACAAATCATGAGAATAAGGAAAACTAAACAATTTATTGTCATCTATAAGGCATAATCCTAACAGAGGTTGCACAAACCACGGTATGGCGCCCCATTTGGGGCTCATATATATGCCAGGTACCACGTTAATCCCAGCAACGGATCAATCATGTACGGCCATGTGCATTGCAGAAGAAATATTGTATAGTCAATTAGCTATCGATACCCTTAATTGGCAATTAGAAGATTAAATGTATTTTCATCCAGCGTTGTTGCTCATAGAATCGTCTCCTAGATATCTACGTTCGGAGGTTGGGTAATCATAGAGAGCATCGGATACATCGAATGCAGAATGACGCGTATGCATGTTATGTCCTATGATATATAGGACTTAATGATCTAATACGTTGAAGCAACCATGAATATTCCATGCCTGATAATATTGCGCTGTACTACTCCCTTCAAAATCATTCTGCAATGTGCAACTGGTAGTTAATTTGACAATTCATGATACATCCTTGGCTCCTTGCATGATGCACTCGAGCTAAGCGAAATACAGCAGGATGACACCAAGAAAAAGGAAAGAGAAAAGATGAAGAGCAGCAACGATCATCGAACAGCTAGCTTGCAGATGGATGGCTACATGGCCACTGCCATAGTCGCCAGCGCGTAGAGGAAGTATTTTTTTTTTGTTTGAAAATACTTGTTGGAAGTATGAGTACATTCCTTTTGAGCATTCAAAAGGAAAATAGTATGTAGTTTTAGAATTTCGTTGACTTCAATGCACCCTATGGATGATACATCCGTGCATGATTTAGCAAAACATGGCTACTTGCTAATATCTAAGTCAACTTCTTGCAACATCATTCTGCAACAGCTTGTTAATTTGACTATTCATCATAAAACCTTGGACGATGCACTCGACCTACACAAAATACGGCATCATGACACCCAGAAAAAGGAAAGCGAAAAGATTAAGAGCAGCAACCATCATCAAACAGCTAGCAGGATAGATGGCCACCTGGCCACCAGAATAGTCACCATGTGCCCTAAGGTTTCGAGCCCGCCTCTCTAACTACTAGCTTAGTGTGTGTACATCCGTGCACGATGCTTGGTAGAATATTATTATAGAGAAGTTCTTTTTTGCGAGATTGATATAGAGAAGTTGACTTGGGACAAAGCCATACCTTATAATGATGTATAATGGATGAAGAATTTTTTTTGTTTGAAAATACTTCTAGGAAGTAAGAGCACGTATTGCTTTTGAGCATTCAAAAGAAAGAGTATGTAGTTTTAGAATTTCGTTGACTTCAAGGCACTCTATGCATGATACATCCGTGCATTATTTGGCAAAACATGGCTACTTGCTAATGTCCAAGTCAACTCCTTGCAAAATCATTCTGCAACAATAGGACAGCCCAGAAAAAGGGCGGGAAAAAAGATGGAGATCGAACGGCTAGCACATGGAACGCCAGTTGGACACCACATTCTCCGCCCAAAAATCCCAGGAATGGTCAAGCCTGCGAGCGGCTATATATATCTGCATGGAATGCAGGCCATTACATCCGCATCCACCGCAAAACTTCCTCTCCTACAGCAGACAGGTACTCTAGCTGTCATGGCATCTTCATCTCTATCAGTCGTGTTGCTCCTGTGCCTGGCCTCGGCGGTGTCGGCGCAGCTGTCGTCCACGTACTACGACAAGTCGTGCCCTTCGGCTCTTTCCAAAATCCAGGCCGGCGTGGCGGCAGCCGTGGCGAGCGACCGCCGCATGGCCGCGTCGCTGCTCCGGCTGCACTTCCATGATTGCTTTGTCCAGGCAAGTTTTTCACATACTATATAAGTATATAGCCGGGCTGGACTTGTGTTGTTTCGATTTTGTTCATTTGTTGAACACCTACCTGGTGACTAACGACCGTGCATATTTATGTTGCTTGGCTACGTACGTACATGCAGGGCTGTGACGCGTCCGTTCTGCTGAATGAAACTAGCGTGGGTGGCAACGAGCGGGGCGCATTCGGGAACGTGGGATCGCTCCGTGGCTTCGAGGTCATCGAACAAATCAAGAAGGATGTGGAAGCCGTGTGCAAAAAGCCCTACAGCAACAATGGCTCCGTCGTCTCCTGCGCCGACATCCTCGCCGTCGCCGCCCGCGATTCCGTCGTCGCGGTAAGATCATGATCGATCGACTCAATTTGCTCGTGTGCCAAGTAGACCGGTTGGTTTGTGCACTGTTCCTGATGCATATACTATATATTATACAGTTGGGAGGGCCGTCGTGGGAGGTTAAACTGGGAAGGAGGGACTCCACCACGGCTAGCGTGGCACAGGCCAACCAGGACCTGCCTCCGCCCTTCTTGGACGTCGCCGGCCTCAACGCCAGCTTCGCCGGCAAGGGGTTCAGCTTGACCGACATGGTCGCCCTCTCCGGCGGCCACACCATCGGGATGGCGCAGTGCCAGAACTTCAGAAACAGGCTCTACAACGAGCCCAACATCAACACGACCTACGCGACGAAGCTCAAACTCAACTGCCCCACGTCTGGCGGCAACACCAACCTGGCCCCGCTCGACGACGACACAGCGACCCCCCCGAACCCGGACTTGTTCAACAACGACTTCTTCATAAACCTCCAGTCAGAGAAGGGCCTCCTTCACTCCGACCAGGTGCTCTACAACGCCACCGCACCCGCCGGTGCCACCGAAGGCATCGTTAATGGCTTCGCTTCTAGCCAGGCCGCCTTCTTTAGCGCCTTCGCCTCCGCCATGGTGAAGATGGCCAACCTCAGCCCGTTGACTGGCTCTCAGGGCCAGGTCAGGACCGTGTGCTCCATCCCCAACTAATTAAGAATCACCATTTAATATGCACCCAAATGACAGCGCGCGTGCACCAACAACCTGCTGCGGCTCAGAGTCCAACCGTATTTTTGCTGTACAATGAACCATGTCCTGTTCAGCCCCTTGTTTTTTTATTTGCCCTTTCAGCCCCTTGCGGTGCCACGTAGTCCATTATTTGTAGCCTTTTCCGCACCTATTGTAAAAAGAATTGGATCCCACCAAGATTCTTCTATATGTTTCTCTCTTCTATTCTGCAAATTATTCATAACATATTCACAATTGATAGTATTTTTTGCATGAGAATTCCTTGATTTTTTCAACAATTTCGTAACTTTCTAGCGGCAAATCATCACTACTGGAAAAATGGCCGTTGCCGAGTTCTTTTGTGTAAGCCGAGTGTGGGAACACGGGATCACGGCAAAAGTTGTGTAAGCCAAGTGTACGGTTCTCGGCAGATAGTAGGGCATGCCGTATGTGAGATGTTACCGAGCCCCCGGCTGGGTGAACTTGGCCTAGACGAAAGAGCTCGGCTTACAGAACGTATGCCGAGATCCTAACGACGGTACCCGACAAAGATGAGCCACGTGGCATGGCCATTTGCAGTTGATGGCTCCGTGACGTACATTCCACCTTTGCCGAGACTCTAACTCCTCGTACTCGGCAAAATATTTAGAAAAACACTTCTCTCTCACGGTAAATGCTTACCAATCACCCTCTCTTGGATACTCGGCAGAGTTGGTCGGGTGTGTGTTATCTCTTTCCGAGTGCTGCAGTGCTCAAGAAAGATGGAAAGTTGCCAACGGAACCCATGCACAGGATTTGCCGACATGTGTACTCGGCAAATCTTATGTTGCCGAGTGCATTACTCGGCAAAATGTTCAACCACACCACTCAACTATCTGTTCTCTGTCCTAAGTCCCTGCAATTGACAAACAACACATATATATTGGTTGGGATAATTTCACAACACTACACATCACATATCAAATATACATAGTGACATCTATATAGCTCAAAGTGACATCACATTCGAACTAAACTCATATACATCAACAAGTTCACAACATAGTTCATAACAAGTTTAAAAGATAGTTCACACCCAGTTCCACAAGTCTACTACATAGTCCGAAAATTCATTTCTGAGCCCGGGCTCAGATGCACTCGCTATCCTGACCATCGCTAGTTCTTAAGATCGGTGCAGTTCCCTGTATTTGTTTCTCGTATCTCATGTGTATTTGGGTAGATAATTGAACCGGTCCACCGCATTTAATTCTGTAAGGTGACTAGAGGGTCTATGTAAAGCGGCCAACGGTCCTGCTGCTTTCCTGGGCCGTGCTGGACTGGCGTTGTCGATGGGATTCTACTTGTTTCCTCCAGGTCTGGCACCAAGAACCAAAACATATTGTGGAAACGAACCTACCAACAGCCAACCAGCCGTTCAACATTTGCACCACCACTTTTACAATCAGAAATTGTTCATCTGTAGCTACAAACTACAAAGCACAGAGACTTACACCTCCCCGCATCCTTTTTGTTACTGCTAACTTTGTGTATCTGTTCGTCAAGTCAAAGACTGAAGGCTTCAGGGTTGACCTTCCCCGTCAACTCTATAGTTTGAGCCGGCTAGGTACAGCCACAACCTGCACCTGCTCCAGGCTGAAACAAGCGAGCAATCAGCCAATCGTCGAAGAACAACACAAGGATAATCGTTCCGATGGAGATTTTCACATGCCAATCGTTGAAGAGCTGTCGTCCGCCATGGCTCTCCGGTGATGTCAGTCCCCCGCCGACGACATCCAAACCTGCTATGTCTACTCAGTTTTGGAAGACCCAGAGATCTCGCACGCCCACAAGAGATATTAGTTTGCTCCCACCCACTATAGAATCGTCAAAATGTAACGGCATCTCCTACAATTATGCGCCACGGCTCACAACTCCAACTGACCCGTCCCTGAGCCATGGCTCAGATGGAAAAGCTGCCGGACGCGCTCACGTGCACTACCGAACAGGCGTCCTGACTACGCAAATGGCCCACCGTACTGCATTGTACCATCCAGTATACTGGATGTATATCTAATTTCCCGACGCACATGTTTTGGCATGCCAGTAGGATTTTCTAGCATCCCGATGCAACATTCAACGCCTAAGATTTCAGGTTCAGTTAGACCTGGGCACCCAAACGCCCTGTCCAACACAAGTCTACTACATAGACCAGTTCACAAGTCTACTACATATGGTCACCTGAGGAACGAACCATGTTGCCGCAACAATGAAGTAGACCGGGTGGTTACTTTGTGCACACCTACCAATGGGGAAATAACCAATCAATTTTTTCTTCCTGATGCATATATATACAGTTGGAAGGGCCGGCGTGGGAGGTTAAACTGGGGAGGAAGAACTCCACCAACGCTAGCATGGCTCTGGCCAACCGCGACCTGCCTCCGCCCTTCTTGGGTGTAGTCAGCCTCAACACTAGCTTCGTTGGCAAGGGGTTCAGCTTGACCGACATGGTTTCCCTCTCCGGATCGCACACCATTGGGAAGGCCAAGTGACAGAACTTCAGAGATAGGCTCTACAACGAGCCCAGCATTGACAAGGCCTTCGCCACTTCGCTCAAGCAAAACTACACCCAGTCTGACAATGACACCAGCTTGGCTACGCTCGACAACACGACCCCACTTAACTCGTTCGACAACTCCTACTTTTTTTGCGGGTGGACAACGCCTACTTGCTCAATCTCCAGTCCAATAAGGGGATCATACACTCCGACCAGGTGATGTACAACGCCACCGGAGGCGCCGGTGCCACCGAAGACATAGTTAAAACCTTCACTTCTAACCAGGGCGCGTTCTTTAATGCCTTCGCCTCGGCCATGGGAAGATGGCCAACATCAAGCCGTTGACTGGCTCAGAGTGAATGGTCAGTTGCGTCTACAGCTCCGGGATGAACCACGGGAAAACTTTGTTTTTGCCACTCTAGTTTTTGCCAACTTCACTTATGCCTAGGGCTGGACACGAGCCGAGCCGAGCCGAGTTCAGCCCGAGCCTGCCTTTGGCTCGCCTAAAGCGAGCCGAACTCGGCTTGGCTCGTTGGTTGAACGAGCCTGTTTTTGGAGGCTCGGCTCGTTTTGTCTCCGGCTCGTCCAGCCCGAGCAGCTCGTTTGTGAACTGCTAATGAGTCTGCAAGCCTCTGCACTGTATGCTTGCGTGCGTCGGGCGTCGGCGAGGCACCGTAGGAGGGACGAACTGCAGCATCGGCGCGTCCGCCGTCGGTGCCGATAGCGAGCCGTCCAGTGTCCCGCGCGGCGAGGATGACGGCGGCATCTGGGGCAGCAAGCATGACGACGGCTACACTCTACACAATCAAGCAGAAGCATGCATACGTTCATCCATCGGACGACGGCTACACTCTACACAATCAAGCAGAAGCATGCATACGTTCATCCATCCAGCCCTACATCCATCCATGCATCCATCGCGTACGTGCGCAGCCATGCAAGGGAGCGTGTGTGTCGTGTGCCGTCCGTGCGCCTGTGAATGCAGGGGAGCGCGCGTCAGTGAGTGCCGAGCGTGTGTGCGCCGAGCTACTGCTAGGTTTGGGAAGGAAGGAGACTAGGAGAGAGTACCTGCTCGTCATTTTCAGCGAGAAACCAAGGGAGGCGCGTCTGCATGCGTTCGGGGTGGTGAGGAAAGGGCGCGTCGGCCCGTCGGCGTTGGTCCAGTTTTGCGGCGCGGCAAGGTGAGGGATGAGGGGGCGTGGAACAGAGGAAGGGAGGGGCTCGTGCCCTAATGCGAGGATGGCCGATGGGAACTGGGCTGGGCCTCGAGCGAGTCACCGGTTTGGACCGGGCGAAACTCGGCTCGGCTCGGTCAGGAGTCGGGCCTCTTTTCTCACATGGGCTCGCTCGTTTATTGTATCGGGCTGAGCTGTAACGGGCCGAGCTGGAGCCAGCTTTAGGCCGAGCCGAAAAGCTCGCTCGCACGTCCAGTCCTACTTATGCCACTCTAGAATTCAACATCTCACTTCTGCCACTCTTAGATTTTGACAATATATCACAAATGCCATTCTGTCAGGTCAATGGACGTTTTGACCAAACAGAGCAAGAAAAAGACCATATTGCCCTCGGTTTTCTGTTTTGCTTTTGCCACTCCCGTTTTTGCCAAATATTACTTTTGCCATGAGAGCATCTAAATACACTGAGCTGATGTGTTACTAATTTTGGCATGACCTATTTAAAAATATAACAATGCACATAATTACACATAAATACACTATTTGATCCGAAGTAAGTGCAATAATAACATCATGACCAGTACCATAGTAAAGAGGTTAGGCCATTATAAATATCAACAAATTACTTCATAGGAGTATAAATCCATCATCTAATCTAAACAGCAAGGTTCGCATGCATATGAACCACCCAAAAGGCAAGCTCCACACAAGTTGAGCAAAGTACAGCAAGGTCTAGCCACATGACAAGCTGAACATAGTACACAACAAGGCATGGTGCTCCACAAAATAACATGTAGTTGCATCTACACAACAAGAAGGCTCAGATATGCATGGTGCTCCACAAAATAACCTACAATTGCATCAACTACACAACTACACAATAAGGTTCCATATGCATAGTGCTCCACAATAACATGTAGTTGCACAGGAAGGTTCACAACTTCTTTCTGCTTCTTGTGCTCTTCGACGAAGGACACTGTTTGCTTCTTGTGTTCTTTGTTGGACTATCATGTGCAGCAGAAGTCTTCTTAGATGCTTCAAAAACTGGGCTAGGCTTTGCCCTTTTACCACCTCCTATAATTTTCTTGGCTTTTAAGAACTGACAATAAATGAAAACAAGAGTGTTGAAATGCAGATTTGCAATAGTAAAAAAATAGACCACTATGGACTGTTTGAAGCAAAACAAGAATGTTTACCTGCTGGTGCCGAGAGTTCCAGCATCTATAGCATTGGATTCTATGTCTTCTATGTCTTGAGGCTCGACATTTTTTCGT